GGAGCCGCTAAATGATTAAATTTAGTTTTATGATGACTCACCACTATTAGCATATTTAAGACGGATGAAGGTGAACAGTCTGAGAGCAAACAGTGTGGCTGGAAGGGGAGAGCTGGAGTCCACGCCTGATCCCGGAAGCCCCACGTGCTAGCTGCGTGACCTTGATCAGTGGCCTGGCCTCTTTGTGCCTCAGTTTCCTGGTCATCAGGTGAGACTGTAGCAGCATCCGTGCATAGGGCTCCGGGGGAGAAGAGATGATGCTCATGAGTATGGAGAATGGAGCCTGGTCCACTGTAGGGGCCCCAGGAATCTAGCGAAACGCACAGGAGAAACCATTAGAAAAGAACCCTGGCCCAGCCGCTGTGGCCAGCCTGCTGAGATGCTGTGCTCTGTGGGCTGGGACTACATGGGAGGCCTGGGTTTGGTTCCTCGTCCAACACAAAGGCAGGTGCCAAGGCATGTACCTTTAGTCCTAGCTGCCAGCTAGGATGGTGACATGGGAAGATGCTTGTCTTTCAAAAACAAAATAAAACCCTTCAGTTCTGAAGAAAAACATGCTATTTCTTTGTAAACAAGTGAAAGTCATAAGAAACTTGAGAAAGTTAATTGACATGAGAGGACACTAGGAAACATTGTGCTCATGCTGACAAGGAGAAAATGCTAGTAACTTCACATCTTGAGCTCAGAGAGCTGAGGTCAAAGGGGTGTCAGGCCTGTTCTGAAAATGGCTCCCTAAGATTCCACCTCCTAGTCCCCAGACCCCATAAATATAATGGGTTGTGCATCTGTGACTGTCACATTTATGGCACAGTGAGCTCAGGTGCAGGTTAGATGGATGATCCTGATCTGGTCATAAGAACCCTTGGAACAGGAGCTTCTAAGGCAGAAGTCAGCAGGAGAAGCATGAGGGAGACTGTTCTGTACTCAGGGATAGAGGAGGCCATCCTCAGATGTGCAACCACAGGAACTGGATTCTGCCGGCTGTCTGAATGAGCTTGGGAGGATTCCTCCCCAGAACCTTCCCAGGGAAGCATGGGACCCACTGATGCCTTGAGCCTAGCCTTGTCAGACCCTGAGCAAAGAATGGGGCTACACCATGATGGATGTTTGCCCACAGAACTGTGAGCTCATGAACAGGTGCTGAGTTTGGAGTAACTTGTAATTCAGCAGAGAAAACTGCTATTCTGAGCAACAGGTGAACTGAATTCCCGAGGGGACAAGCCCCTTGGGGAGAGGCAGGACTCATAGACTGGTTCACCTTTAGCAGAATGTGGGCACGGAAGTGACCGTCATAAATGTGTGTAAGAAGAAAACAGAAATTCAACAGATGATCTTAAAGGCCCAGTCTTGGTAGCGTGACAACGTGGGCCCTCCTGGGAGCCCAGGTACAAACCCAGGCGCTTACCATGAAATTCATTTCTTTGGCCCTTGTGTGCTCCCAGAGTGACTGGGGTTGAATATGCGTGATAATTTTTCTGTCTTAGATCTCTTTAGAAGAGATTTGACTTAAATAAGGTCCCTAGAGTAGACTCGTAGAGACAGAAAGTAGAACAGGTTGCCAGGGGCCAGGAGGAGAAGGGATGAGTTAGTGTTTAATAGGGACAGAGTTTCAGTTGGGAAGAGGATAAAGTTCCGGAGATGGATGGTGGTGATGACTGCAGCATGATTACATGTAATACCATCAATTTGTTCACTTATGAATGGTTAAAATGACAAATTTTGGTGTGTATATTTACCACACTTCAAAAAAAGAAGAAATGGATCTGCTAAAGTTTGAATTTGTCCCAAGGAATTTCTGTGTTGAGATTTGGGTCCTACTGTGCTGGTAGTAAGTGAAAACTTAATCTCACTATAGGATTAAGAGGTGGAGTGGGGCCAGCCGTGCAGTGTGGTTAAGGCAGTTGAATCCCACATGTCCAACTGTGTGGTTTGAGTCCTGGACCCTGCAGCTTGAAAAATGTGCTGGGCATGTGTGTATGTGTGTGCCCAAATCTCTAGGGGAGAGTAGAGGAGAAGGGAATGCAGCATGGTCATCCTCCCCTTCTCCTTCTCTCTTTCCAGCAAGCATGCTAAACCAAACCAAACCAAACCAAACCAAACAAACAAAACAAAAGAAGAAGAGATGCTGGTTTTCAGGATGGGGTCCCCATGATTGACTCCTGCCCTGACTCCAAGGGGCTTCCTAAGGAGAGAGCAATCAGAGCAGATGCAGACCCACGGTTGCTCTGCTCCTGCCCTGGCCGTGTGGTACCCTGGCCATGTGATACCCTTACTATGTAATGCCTCGCATTGCCTTTGGAATCTAGCAATGAGAAGACTCTCCCCACATGTCGCCCCTTGACCTTGGACTTCCAAAACCACGAGCTGAATAAACCTTTCTTTATAAATTACCCAGACTCAGGTATTTCTGTTATTAGCAACACAATGGACTAATACACCTTCTAAGTGATAATTGACCTAAAATAGTAACCTTACATGTTGGAGTTTGTAACATATGTAGAATTAAATGTGCAACAACAAAAGACAAGAAGGAGGGAGTGATGTCCTTGGACACGAGGCTCTTACACCACACATGAAGTTGGGTGCCATACTTGAACATGGGCAGCAAGAGTTCAAGGTGGGATGTCAATACGGAAAAGAAAGGAATAGCTAATAAGCCAATAGTGGTGATGACATGGAATTGGTAAAAAAAATAAAAAAAATAAATTCACAGGAAGGCAAAAAAAGAGTAAAAGAAGACAAAGAACTTGGACAAATGGGAAACAGTGAAGGCTGAGAGGTGGATACAGCCACTTTTTGGTCATTTAGGAGGGTCCTTCGGTTCAGTTGAGGCTGATGGGCCTTGGACAGGTCGGAGGGCATCTTGGAAGCACTCACTGATGGCCTCAGAGTCTGCTCCCTGCCCCACGGGGCTCAGCCTCTTCCCTGGAATAGCTTTCAGCCGGGAAGCATGATTGCCTACTAACATTTCATGGTAGTGAAAAGAGTCCAGCAGAAAGACTGTGTTTAGACCTGGATTCCTCAACCGGAGGCCTAGGACCAAGGCAGTGAGAGAAAGAGATGGAGAAAGCACCCTCCCAATGGAGTGTGATCACATTGCAATCCCTTCTCCTCCATTTCTCTATCTTATTTTTTTTTTTAAAGAGATTTTTTTTTTTTTTTTTTTTTTGCTATAGGGTGTGTGCACTCTCTGGAGGGACAGAGAGAGACAGAAAATGACAAATCACCCCCCAGCCAGGGGGAATGGCCAAGCTGCAGTCCCTTCTCCTCCATTCTCATTTTGGGGTTTTGGGAACACATGCACATACGCCTGGTGTGAATTTTAAGCCCCCGGGTCCAGGACTCTAATCACGGTTGACTATGTGGGAGTCCAGTGATGTAACCACTATTACGCCTTCTGCTGGTCCTTCCATCCTGTTTTTAAACCACTGGGGCCAGGATTTGAACCGTGGTTGGTTATGTGGAATCTAGCTTCCTTAATTGCCAGGTCACAGGCCCAGCCCAGGCCTTGTTTTCTTATAAAAGGAAGAATAACGTAACTATTTTCTGATGGTAGTAGTAATAACTAAAAAAGTAATACATACTCATTGTATTGTAAAATAAACTCAAACTTTAGACAGCTATAGAAGCAAAAGGGAAATCCACTCAGAAGAAACCTGTGTTTATATGTTGGTGTGTGTTTGTCCAGATCTTTCTCTTTCTGTATCCTTATTTAAGCATAATTCACAGCAGAAGAACATGCTGGGGCCATTTCTGGAACACAGATCTAGCCAGGTTGCCTCCCAACTTCATGGCTTCTCCAGCTTCCGCTAGCGTCAGGAGAATTGACCTCTGCACATCACTGTCCCACCTCCTCCTCATCCTGGATCTTCTGCTAGATGTGGGGAAGTGAGAAGGAGGGATGGCAGGGCCTGAGGGGCCTTCCCTCTTCCTCATCTCCTGGCTAAGTCTCAGCTGCTTCTCAAAGAAGACAGGGGCTTCCCCGTGGAGGCCATGCCAGTATTTGTTCCCCATCATTATTGTTAACAGATTACCACTATTGCATGGTTAAGCCACTATGCAGTATATTCTGGATGGGAAATTATATTTTGTAAGCTGTGATGATGCTTAGGGAATGAATGCAAATTAATTAATTAAAAAATGTTTCAGAAAAAAAAAAGCTCACGGAAATATGTGTAATGGGGAAACTAAGTATGAATTTCAAAAAGTTTTTGTACCAAAATAAATCCATACTTTAATTGTAAAATAAATAAATAAGTAAATAAAGTGGGAAAAATTAAAAAGGAGTGTAAAATAACTGTAGATATCAGAGACTATGGGAGGAGGATGGGAAATGGCAGAGGGTGAGAAATAGGGGGAAATATATATGTATGAGAAACAAGAAATGGATTTGTTGATGATAACATGTATGATTAAGCCACTATACAGTGTATTCTGGATAGGAAATTGCATTTGTATGCTGTGATGATGTTCAATGACAGAATGTAAAATAAATCAGTAAATTAAAAAAATAATGGGGCATTTCCTATTCACACACACACACACACACATACACACACACACAAAAACAAATTACCACTATCTGGTTGGTTTAATCATAGAAATTTATTCATTTATTCCAGAGCTAGAAGTTCAGAATTAAGGCCTTGGCCAAGTTGCTTCCTCTGGAAGCCACAGGGAGAGTCTGTTCAGTGCTTTCCTCACTTCTGGTGCTGCCAGCATTGGTTGGTTTGTGGCTGCATCACTCTAGTTTCTGCCTCCATTTTCACATGGTCCCTTCCTTTTTTGTCGTAAGGACACTTTCCATTGGGTTTAAATGACACCCAGATAATCGAGGATCTCATCACAAGATCCTCAACATCTGCAAAGACTCTTTTGCCAAATAAGGCTGTATCCGCAGGCTTGGAGGACATTACGTTAAGTGAAATAAGCCGGGCACAGAAAGGGGAAAATCACAGTTCTCACTTCCATGTGCAAACCTAAAAAGTTGACTTCATAGACGTAGAGAGTAGAATAGTGGTTACTAGAGGCTGGGAAAAGGAAAAGGAAGATAGAGATGTTAATTAGCAGGTACAAAGTTATTCTTAGATAGGAGAGATAAAGTCTCATATTCTATAGACAGTAGGGTGACAACAGTAAATAATCTTTTGTATATTTCAAAATAACTAGAAGAGAGAATTTTGAATGTTCCCAATACACAGTAATGAAAAGTATTTGTCATGATAGATATGCTAATAATCCTGATTTAATCATTAAATACTGTATTCATGTATTTTTAAAAATCCCACCATGCCCCATGCATATTGTACAATTACTATGCATTAATTAAAAGTAATTAAATAAGGGCACATTTCACCAGTTCCAGGTGGAACTATATTATGAGGGCCATCATTTAGTCCACTACCACAGCCATGGTGGCAGGGAAGGGAGAAGGAGGTCTACAGAGGGGTGAGGTGGAGGTCTGAGGCGGGAGGGGCTGAGTGCGTACCCAGTGGACAGCTCCCAGTGGTCGCTGGAGGGGAGCGGGCATCTGGGGTCTGGGGAAAGGACCTCGGGCAGGCTGGCCTGTGTGTCTGGCCTCTCCCTGCACAGAAGCAGGCCTCTGTGGCCCAGGCATGCAAGTGTGAGATCAGGTGGGCCCTGGTCCCTCAGATCTACGGAGATCAGAACAACCCCTGCTTGGCTGTAGGCAGTCCCTGGCTGGATGGCCTGACTGGCTGTTTGTGTGAGTGGGATGGACTCTGGCCATTGTGACCGTGGGGAGACAGGGTGGGTCCAGGGGGCAGGAGCCAATGCTTTCAGGGAGAGGAGGTAGTCCTGGTGGGAGGAGGAGAGAAGCTGGACCCTCAAAGGAGGGAGTCATCAGCCTCCCAGGTTCTTTTCTCTCAGGAGGGAGGACAGTAGAAATGAAAACTAGCAACAGCTACTGGAAGTGGGGCTTTCAGCGTGTCTCAGCCCACTCCCCTCTCTGTGGGCAGGGCTCTTCTTTTGCATCAGTATATATTTTAAAAGGATAAGTCATATTCCTAAAATTTCAAAATAATTTTTAAAAAGTTTAGTCTTTTTTTTGGGGAGAGGTTTTTGCTATAGGGGCATGTACTCTCCAGAAAGACAGAGAAACAGAGAGATAGAAAGCGAGAAATCACCCCTCAGGGGGCATGGCCACGCCACAATCCCTTCTCCTCCATTCTCCTCTTGGGATCTTGGGCATGCACGCACACGTGCCCAGCATGAGTTTAAGCCACCGGGTCCGCGACTTGAACTGAGGTCAGCTACATGGGAATCCAGTGACATAGCCATTACACTAACTGCTGGTCCCAAGTTTAGTCATTTGTTTTTCTTTCATGAATAAATGAGAAAGAGAGAAAGGGACAGTTCCCCCAACTGGGTCTGAAGCCTCAATCCACCCCCCAACTTCAGCCATCCCCAGAAAGTGGACACACATGCCCCATGTGCTCAGGGAGGTCTTCAAGTGAGAATCTGGGAACTTTGGGCCAGCCTCTCAGAGCATTGTATTTTACTGGCACACCACCCTCCAACTCTGTATGTCCTTAAACTTTGGATTGAAATCATTAAGCTCTCTGTTCTCTGCTTCCATCTAGGGCCCAATAGGAGGGGGCTGGGCGTGCTATCTGTGTGGTCTGGTCTCCGGCCCCAGTGCTCACTGATAGCCAAGGGCTCCTCTTAGTCCCACTGGAATGGAGCCCTGAGACCTTAACCTAAATGCAGTTACCCTCAGTCCTATTCTTCTAAGCATGCTTATTTTTTCCAATTATTTCTCTAAATAGAATCATCACGTGAGCATGAAGGAAGCCAGTTGGAGAGATCTTCAGGCTTTAGGGTGAGCCTTCCCAGGCCACTCTAGGAAGCCCCTGTCTCTTCCGTTCTTGTGCCACAGGAGGATGGATGAAGGGGTGCATCTCCGGAAACAGGAGCTTTCCAAGTGAATGTGGGAGCCTTCTATGTTCCTCTGATAGTCTGTGACCTTTTCTTTTCCTCTAGGATTATTTCCCATGGAGTAATTATGTCTGGGGTCAACACTATTAGGAGTGACCTTGAGGAGCTAATTGGCAGATTGATGTTGTGAAAGCTTTTAATTTGCCTCTCCTGATGGGATCCATGTTTAATATGGTCATAATTGCCAGTTTTTATGTGTCTCGATGTCTTAAATTTATGCTCAGGCTTTGAAGAGCATTTACAGGGAGCAGCCCTGTGGGATGAATCAAGTAAGGCTTGCACAGAGGCAGATGGGCAGTGCCTGTTGCATCCCTTCCCCAAGACAGCTGCTGCATTGAGGGACATGCACTGTCCTGTCAGTGGGTGCTGGCGGAGAACAGGAAAGCGGCAGTGTCCAGGGATGGCAGCCTCAGACAGCGGCAGAAGATTTGTGTCCTGGAGGCTGAGTGTCCACAGGGCTTCTTTCCTGTACCTTCAGGCAGGGGTTCTACTGTCTGCAGCCCTTGGTCAGGAAGTGCCTTGCTATGAAGCCAAGCTCTCTGTTCCTTCTTGGGCAGTTCTCTCTGAGACTCAGCTGCGTCAGAGGAGGTGGGGGATCCAAATGACCCCTGGGGCCATAGTCCATTATACTGGGCACTCCTAGTTAAATATTGCAGTCTTTAGTTCCCAGCAATAATTTGCTCCTCCTTGTATTTGGATGTACTTGGAGGAGTAGGGCAAGCGGTTTATTCAACATGGGACCTCTTCTGTGTTCCAAACCTCCTAAACTCTCCCTACCCAAGTGCCCCTGGGCTCTGGGTGTGCTGAGAGGTGATCCTGTCTCAGATGGCAGGGTGTCCTGGGTTTGGCAAGGGTCCCTGCTCTGTGCCCAAGCCCTCTGGGCTTGCTCTGGAGGGACCATGGAGGGACCATGCTGCCCTCTCTTCCCCCATGAGGCAGTCCCCTTTGTGGGGCAGGGGCACCGGGGAGGGAGGGCTGCATGACTGTTCTGGCCAATGAGTAGTGAACAGAACCCGTATCATTTCCAGCTGGAGCAGGAAGCTGTCCCATTTCCTTCCACAGGGAGGCCAGGTGGCCGAGGAGGCGGCTGTCTGTGGCAGTTGGAGGAGCCCACCACTCACTCTTGCGTGGATTTGGAAACCAGCCTTGTTCTTCTGAAGCTTGACTTGTTCCAAGTTTCTTAACAGATGCCTAAGAGACTGGGGTGGACCCAGGGAGCAGGCCTGAGAGGGACAAATGGGCACAGGTCCTAGAGTGGGCAGACCCATGGGGAAATGGCATGGTGCAGGGGCAGCAGAGGGGACTTTGGGGCAGATGGGGAGGAACCAACACAGCCGAGCAGTGTCTGACCTGCTGAGCCCCTTCAGAGCTGTGGGGAGGTTCCAAGGTGAGGCCAGCCTCTTCCTGTGAGGCAGTTATACTACAGATGTTCTATAATTATGCATCCCAGTGAGCCCCTTTCTCTGTTTACTCAAAAGTCCTACATTACCTCCTTCAAAATCCTTCCCTGGGCTCCTGGTCTACATTCTGCAAATATCTACCTGTCCAGGCTCTGTCTGTAGATCTTCCTCCTGGGGCCCACACAGAGGGCTAGCTGGATCTCACTTCTGCTGTGTCTGTTCAGTGACTCCTCAGCTCCCTAGAGGCCTGAGTCCACTAGGGTTTCTGTTCAGATAGGATGAGCTGGGGCACCTCAGACCTTCATACTGGGGTCGGGTCGGGGTCAGCCCAGGTAGGTGTGGCCTCTCAGAAGGGGGAAAATGGGCTTACTGTGGAAAGTGCCTGAGTAGAAAGCTAGTTGCTACAGTTGTGGTAGGGAACACCAGGGAGAAAGGAAGAAGGGAAAGTGAGGGGATTTTGGTGGGAGCAGAGAAGAGATGTTTGGGATCAGTTCACAAGAGGAAAATCAAATTTAGTGCTGGCCCTGGCCTGGAATGAGAATGAACCTCACGCAGTGTTTGTGCGACATTGAGCTAGGCTGATGCAGGAGACCTTCAAACATTCCCTCTTGCAAACCGAAGCCCTGCTGATAAAGCTAAAGCCAAATCATGACTTTTCTTTCCGAAAGAACCTGTCAATCTAAGGAGGGTAAACTGAGTCAAAACATGTAAATCAAAAGGAGCTTATTGAGCATAAGTCCAAGCAGCCTTGAATTTTATCATAATACAGACAAGTGAAAACAAAATCAGCAGCACAGTCAGAGAAAAATATCTCAGATTTAAAATAGAATTAGTTGGCACTTTCCAAAACTGAAAATGAACCCAAAAGTTGGCAAACAAAAAACTACCCACCTATTCCACATCTTCACATAACTGAGTTCCTACCAAAGCTCCTTGTACCTCACTAAAAGTAGGAACCAGGGGGGACCAGCAGATGGCATATTGGTTATGTCACTGGACTCCCATATAGTCAACCGTGGTTCAAGTCCCAGACCCAGACCAGCAGCTTAAACTGACACCAGGAACATGTGAATGTGTGTACAAACTCCTGAGAGAAGAATGGAGGAGAAGGTATTGCAGTATGGCCATCCCTCTGGGGGTGGGGGTGGGATTTCTTTTTTTTTTTTTTTTTTGTGAGGTTTTTGCTATAGGGCACATGCATTCACCAGAAAGACAGAGACAGTGAGACAGAAAGCGAGAAATCACCCCCCAGGGGGGATGGCCACGCCACAATCCCTTCTCCATTCTCCTCTCGGCATCTTGGGCACGCACACACACATGCCCGGCATGAGTTTAAGCTGGGTCCAGGACTCACACTGTGGTTGACTACATGGGAGTCCAGCAACATAGCCATTACGCCAACTGCTGGTCCTTGGGGTGGGGTGATTTCTTGCTTTCTGTCTCTCTGTCTCTCCAGCGAGTGCACGTGCCATATAGCAAAAAAAAATCTCTCAAAAAAAAGGGAGGAACCACTGCTTACTATGAGGCAGATCTCCCTATATTCCTAAGAAAAGGAAGTTTTTTTTTTTTTTTTTTAAAAAAAGCCCAAATAAAATCTTATCTTGACCTCAATGGAGGGAGGTCTGATAGTCCAATATTCAGGAAGACTCATTTTTTTCACACCTACCAGTCCTCAGAAGTTGAAGGAACTCAAAGGATCCATGCTGTACCGGTGGCAAGTCTGGAGAGAATGCTGGGTGGTTGTAGTGGGGATGGGGTCTCTCCGAAGTCCCATCATTTGGGCACCAATTTTTCATCCTTGGAAAGTCAACTGAGTCAAAATATGGGAAGCAAAAGGAGTTTATTTGGGCATAAGTATGAGGCATGTATTTGGCATGCAGCCTGAATTAACATTATTGAGGTTGCTTTGAACACACTCACTGAGGTCTTACAGTCCTGAAGTAGGTTTTTTTTTTTTAGAGAGAGTTATTTATTTATTTTTTTTGCTATAGGGCGTCTGCACTTGACAGAGAGAGAGACAGAGGCAGAAAGCAAGCAATCGCCCCCCAGGGGGATGGCCACACCATAATCCCTTCTCCTACATTCTCCTCTCAGAATCTTGGGCATGCACACCTCCCCGGCATGAGTTTAAGCCACCGGGTCCGGGACTCGAACCGCAGTTGCCTACATGGGAGTTCAGCGACGTAGCCATTACGCTAACTGCTGGTCCCATAGGGAAATAAATTCTAGATACTTAGGCATTTTACCGTACCAAAAGAAATTATAAATATGCCAGAAACAAACAAACAAACATAAACAAACAAATCTCTATCTTAGAGTAAGGAAAACATTTGTAAGAATAGGAGTAAAAGGCAGGAAGAGACAGCAAAAGTTAAATTTAGCAACATAAGAGCACAAAGTTTTCTCTAGGAATAGAAAACTTTGACAAACTTCCAGCACCTTAACCACCATGCCATCTGCTGGCCCTGGTTTTAGTAATGTTTAAAAGCTACCATAAATTGACTAGAAAGGGGGAATATGGGCCGTTCAGTGGCTCAGTGGTTAAGGCCAACTGAGCAATTAGTCCCAGACCTGGTGGCTTGAAAAACAGGCCAGATGCATGGGTATGTGTGCCCCAAATCCTAAGAGAACGGAGGAGAAGGGATTGTGATGTGGTCATCGTTCTGGGGGTTGATTTTTCACTTTCTCTCATGTCTCTCCAGTGAGCACACGTACTGTATAGCAAATTAAAAAAAAAGAAAGAAAGAAAAAGACAAGGCGAACGCTCCAGAGAAACATATACAAAGGACACAACATGCATTAGGGTTAGGTTTAGTGGCATGTGATGGAGAATGAAAATTCAGTCTGTGGGAACGAGACCAAGATGAAACTGGAGCCAGGCATGGGCAGCGGACACTGTTCCGCCGAGAGCCGAAGATGGCAGTGAACGTGTACTTGACCTCAGTCACCAGTGATAACCTAATTCGACTTGGCGTACTGGCCTAGATCAATGAATCTCTGCAGTTGAATCTGACAAAGATGGAACAGTTGTGCTCAGGGGCAGCTTATTGTCAGTTTATGGACATGCTGTTCCCTGGCTCCATTGCCTTGAAGAAAGTGAAATTCCAAGCAAAGCTAGAACACGAATGCATCCAGAACTTCAAAATGCTACAGGCAGGATATAAGAGGATAGGTGTTGGACAAAATAATTCCTGTGGAAAAATTGGTCAAAGGCAAGTTTCAGGACAACTTTGAATTCGTTCAGTGGTTCCAGAAGTTTTTTGATGCAAACAATGATGGAAAAGACTGTGACCCTGTAGCTGCCAGACAAGGTCAAGAAACTCCAGTAGCTCCCTCCCCTGTTGCTCCAGCTCTGAATAAACCCAAGGAACCTCTCAGCTCTAGTAGTGCAGCCCCACAGAGGCCCATTTCAACACAGAGAACTACTGCAACTCCTAAGGCTGGCCTGGGGGTGGTGTGAAAAAATCCTGGTGTGGGCGATGGGGCTGACAAAGCAGTGGAATTAGTGCAGAAGGTCAAAGGATTGAAACTTCCTGTCGAAGACTTGGAAAAAGAGAGATTTCCACTTTGGAAAGTGAAGGAACATTGAAATGATTTGCCAGGAGAATGGGGGGTGTGTGGGGGGGATGGCCCTGTATTACAGTGGATTATAGACATCCTTTAGGCCACAGATGAAGGTTTTGTGATACCTGAAGAAGGGGCCCACAGGAGGAACAGAAAGAGTATTAACAGCCTGGACCAGCAAGGCCACTTCCGAATTCTTCCCTCCAAATCATTCTTGACTGTAAAATACTCTCTTTTATCATGCATAGAGGGACTCACTGGTTTCTTTTCATAAGCAAAAAGTACCTCTTCTTAAAGTGCAGTTTGCAGAATTTTCACTCCTTTTCCAATAAGTTTGAGTTAGGAGCTTGTACTTTGTAGCAGAGCAGTATTAACATCTAGTCGCTCACCTGAGGGACAGAGGATGACCATGGGGCTCCCTGTGTGGGTGCTGGCCACACTGAGGCTGGAGAAGGGGTTTGTAATAGCTGAGGTGGTGACCTCAGGAGAGAAATGTAAAGACTGAATTGAATTTTAAGCTAATGTGAAGTCTTGGCAGAGAATGTTTTAATAAATGTCTTAAGAATATTAAAATATGTTTTCATATTTCAAAATAGAAAATATAACACCACAGGTTTTATGTGTATGACCTTGTGTCTGGGAAGGAAAGGCCAGACCTGGGAACCTTTGGAACCTGCTGGGGCAGGCCTTGCAGACTGCTTGAATCTTCACAAGCCTCGGCTTTGGCCCAAAGACAAAATTTTAAAAGTTGCCCTGTGAAGCCATTTGGTGTCATTGACTAATAGCTTCCGTGCTGCAAAGCAAGAGGCATTATTGCCTGCGTGAATAGAAGGTGTGTTTCAGCCTTGAGTTGAAGTGCTGGATTTTTTTTTTTTTTTGAGAGTTTTTTTTTCTGTAGGGCGTGTGCGCTCGCCAGACAGACAGAGACAGAGAGACAGAAAGCGAGAAATCACCCCCCCGGGGGGATGGTCACGCCGCAATCCCTTCTCCTCCATTCTCCTCTCGGGATCTTGGGCATGCACACACATGTGCCTGGCGTGAGTTGTAAGCCACCAGGTCCGGGATGTGAACCACGGTTGACTACGTGGGAGTCCAGCGACATAGCCATTACGCTAACTGCTGGTTCCCAAGTGCTGGATTTTCATTGAGCACTTATCTGACGATTTTTCCATCTACCCCTGAAATTTCTATGTGTTGTGTTTTTTAGGAAATGAGGTGTGTCCAGATTTCTAATCTAACAACTACTTTTAGGGACTTGCCCGCATCTCTGGGAATTGCATGGGGGTTATGTCTCATTTTACTGTCTTTTCAGTTTACACTTAACAGGTTTCTCTTCTCTGTTCCCCTTGTCTAATGGGGACTCTTCGGCTCCTTAAAGTTTGCTACTTAGAACTGGAAGTTCAGCGGGCGGGTGATCATACTGCAAGTTCTTTTTGGACCTCATAGACAGTAAAAGAAAAAAAAAAAAAAGACTGATAAATAAATGAAGAACACATTCAGCCTCATAGCAATTGTTTGATTGTACCATGAGACCGATTTTCCAGTGTAATTGTCAGTGAGTGTGTGGGTCTTGGCCTATGTCCTGAGACCCATTCCTGGCCCTTCCCCTGCTAACCTTTGCATTTAGGGTAGGGGGTATAGAACCTTACTGAATGTGTTTCTCAGGCCCCTGCATTGGTGGCGTTCTAGCTGGGTTTAACCAGTAAGAGGCTCTGGTGGGGGGCTGGGGTGGTAGAAAGGGAGAGATATTATCTCTCCTTCTGTCTGGGCATGACCTTGAGCAGTGGCTGCTCCAGGTCCTTCCTGTCTTGATTCCAGCTTTTATCCTGAATTCTACTAATAGCACCCACCTCCTGCCCTGTCCCTGCAGCCTGGGGTTGGTGGTTACTTCCTTTTTTTTTCTGGCTTCTCAACTCTTCTATCACAAGTGTCCCAGTGTCGACCAATTTCTCAGCCCTTTTGTCACCAATTTACTGCATCAATCCTCGTCTGTTTTAGGTTCCCAGTGTGAGATCTGTTTTCTGGGTGGGACCCGCTTGCCACAGTGCTGAATTGCAGGTCTGCCTCGGTGTTATGAAATGGGCCCTGCTCAACCCATGTAGTCTTTGGGAACTCAAAATTTGGCAGATGTAAGAAAAAGCATAAAGATGTATCCACTTTTATGATTCTACTACTAGGAACTTACTCTAAAGAAATAATTATGCAAGTGTGGGAGGACATACATGAGGTTGTTTGACAGAAGGTGGATCATATAGGTGCACCCTTATCTGAAATACTCCAAAATCTGAAACTTTTTAAGTGTCCACGTGATTCCCCAAGTAGAAAGTTTCACATTTGACTTCACATCACAACTGTCAGTCAAAACACGGCAAAACAAGTATAAAATTACCTTCAGGCTATGTGTTTAAGGTGTATATGAAACATAAATGAATTTTTTGCTTAGACTTGGATCTGATCCCTGAAATATCTCATTATGTATGGGAGCATATCCAAAATACAAAAAATTTCCAAACACTTCTGGGTCCTAAGCATTTCAGAAAAGGGATATTCAACCTGTATCAGGAAAACACTGGAGGCGGCAGGTGGCATAGTGGTTAAGGCACTGGACTCCCACGTGGCCAACTGTGGTTCAAACCCAGGACCTAATGGCTTGAAACTCACACTGTGTACATGCACACGTGCCCAAACTCACAAGAGGAGAAGGGGTTTTGGTGTCATCCTCCTTGCAGGATGATTTCTCACTTTCCCTCTCCTGTTTCTCTCCAGTGACCACGTGTGTCCTATGGCAAAAAAAAAAAAAAAAAAAAGAAAAGAAAAGAAAAGAAAGAAAGAAAGAAAACAGTGGTATAACCTTACCTTTGAAAGTCACCTCAGTGGCATGGTTAAACATCAAATTACTGCTGTGTGGTAAAGCACTATGTAGTCATAGTATTTGTGCAGTGCAGAGAGCTGATAAAAAATGGAATGTGAATTACAGTTCAGTTTTTTTCAGTTTATTTCTTTCATAAGAATGAGAGACATGCACACACACACACACACACACACTAGGGTCCAACAAGTTGCGGTCCTCCTTTCAGCCCTCCCAGTCAACCAGGATCTTGTGCCCATAGTGTAGAGGTCAACTGAACACACAGTCTTGCGTACGGATACATTACTGCTTGAGTAGCATGTTACCACAGCCCCATGAGCAGATCTAGTACAGTTGAATTTTTATTAAAATCACATATGATGGTGGAATGGTTACGTTACTGGACTGCCATGTAGTCAACCGTGGTTCGAGTCCCAGACCTGATGACTTAAAACTCACACCAGGCGTGTGTATGTGCATGCCTGCCCAAAATCCCAAGAGGAGGAGGAGAAGGGATTGTGGCATGGTCATCCCCTGGGGGAGTGATTTATCGCTTTCTATCTCTCTGTCTCTCTCTGTGTCTCTGGCAAGCGCACATACCCTATAGCAAAAAAACTCTCTTAAAAAAATGTATTTATGGGACTAGCAGTTAGCGTAATGGCTATGTTGCTGGACTCCCATGTAGTCGACCGTGGTTCGAGTCCCAGACCCGGTGGCTTAAACTCATGCCGGGCGCGTGTGTGTGCGTGCCCAAGATCCTGAGAGGAGAATGGAGGAGAAGGGATTGCGGTGTGGCCATCCCCCCGGGGGGTGATTTGTCGCTTTCTGTCTCTCTGTCTCTGTCTGTCTGGCGAGCGCACGTGCCCTATAGCAAAAACCTCTCCAAAAAAAAAAAAATGTATTTATATGTTGGAAAATGGTTTAGCAGGATTTGCCTAAAAATTCTACCATTCTTCTTTTGTGGCAATGTAATAGATAATACTTACAATTTCTTACTTTTTTTTGAAGAAAAATTTTTGCCAAACATATATATATATATATATATATATGTATATATTAGGGCATAAAATACTTTATTTATGCTATTACATTTGGGTACCCTTTCTTCTTCCTGGAAGGGAAGCAACGGTCCAAACATATTTTTTTTAAAACTCAGTTTTAAGACAGTATCTCACTGTGTTATGATGCCCCTGCCTCAGTCTCCCTGAGTTGCTCAAATTACAAAGACACATCACTGTGCCCAGCCTTCAGGTTAGACCTGGGAATTGAACTTGGGCCTCCCAGGTGGTCCCAACTTGCAGACGACAGCATCTTGGTAGTACATGCTGCTGCAGCTGAGCCTAATCATATATTCTATACATGAAAATTAGAAAAAATAGAGATTTCATACATTTCCTGTTCCCCAGTTGCCTTCTCAAAATCAATTAGGGGAATCAGATTTCTCAGAGAAAAACCCTCTTTGCTCGTCCATAGTATCTGTGTGAATGTGGTATTGCTCTGGGCCCCAGCTCACAGTTCAGAGACCTCGTATCCCAACCCTGGCAGGCAGTGGGATGGGAGGCACCTGGTAAAGGCAGCTGCCTTTATTTTTTTTTTTTTT